AGATATATAGATATCTATCTATCTATAGATATCTATATATCTATAGATATCTATAGATCTATAGATATCTATAGATATCTATATATATAGATATAGATATCTATATCTATATAGATATCTATAGATATCTATATATATAGATATAGATATCTATACTGGACAATTGCAAATGGTATTTTGCAATTGAATTCAAGAGGATAGTTAACCTTGTTTAACATCTAGGGATTTTAAAATAAGAATCAAAGGCTTTATAGAGGTGGTGTCCTCATCAGTTGAGATTTGTGGGAATGTAACCTCACTCGTGCCGCTCTTAGATGACCTCACCGCATAAATTATGAGCCTATTTGGTATAAATGTGGTTTTGTGTGAAAGACCCCAGAGAGGGCTTTCTTGGTTTTGCACTACTGTGTGACTTCCAAAGATCTTTTTTGTGATGCATAGTTGACAATGTATTTGATACTTTTAAATTGGAGAAAACTTTGGAAGAAAATGTAATGGTTACAGTAACTGTAGCTATTCACAGCAGCAAAAATGAGACAAATCAATTTTTTGCTTTTTACAGGACGGTTAAACAGCAGAACAAACAAGACGATGCACCTGTTAATCTTTTCAGGTTTTGCGATGCAGGGAACTGAATCCTCGGAGAAAACATCAGTGTTAGTGTAACAACTAACTTTTACATTCAGGAGGATACAAATATGGAAACCTGAAAAAATAATGTTTCAAAGCGATTGGCTATTTGAAAAATAAAACGGGGGCCCTTGAGTTTTTTTTCAGAGTCTTCATAATTAAATCTTATGTTGTTAAGATGTCAATGGTAAAATGGCCAAATTTCATACAAATTATGTTAAATACATACTTATATGAAGGCATCATACATTTAAACGAGTCCTTGCATGCTTTCCCAAATATATCTGGGGAAAGGGAAAATATATTTGAGATGAAATATGTAAATAAGCGGCACTTGGGAGGTAAAAATGTGCTTGAAAGCTGTCACCTCATCACTGGATGTCTCTTCTCCGCTTTCATTTTATTATGCTAATGTTGCAAAATCTGCTTTTGGAGGTGTAAGGCTGAGTGACAGCCTCATCATGGGTTGGTGACAGGCTGTCTGCATTAAACTGTCCTATCTTCAAATTCTCTTTTTCTGTCTCTTTTTTCCAGCTTCTTACTGTATAATCCCATACACCACTAAAATCATTCAGGAGCAATTCTGTTTAAACATGGCTAACCTCTTGCTCATGTATCATGGAACTAGTTAACAAACATTATTTTGACAACAGAACAAACCTCAGCAGGAGATACATGATGAAATAACGACGTATGGGAGAAGACTTCATTTAAGACTACAAATTGCACATATTTAGCGATATAATGTGACACATCAGATTCTGAAAGCATTTTGGTTATTGTATTCCTTAGAGCTTATGATGCTGAACAGGACAAAGGCAAAGATGTTGAATACAACATTGGAGAGAGAGATGAGTACGGCTCAAGAGTATAGCCCGTCGTTCTGGACCTCTCTTCAAAGGAGACCATGAGACCATTGTCCTTTTGCATCATTCTGTCTGTATTTGTAGCCCATGGGTCAGCTGCGGACGCATGACAAGTTTAAGTAGATGCACGATAAAGGTTGCATGCAGCTCTGGGATTTTGGGAAGCACTCCTTTTTTTTTTCTCAAGCCACATTCTGGACTTGCTCTGCTGTGTTGTGGCGAGCAGAACAAAGTAGGTCTAGATGTTTTATGTGCATGACTGCTTCCTCAGAGCAAGAGGAACAGCTGTCCTCCCTTTTTATTTATGTGACATGACGTGGTGAGTATTTTTGTTGTTGTTGAGGAAAGCACCACAGAGATGCTTCCAGGCAAACACAGTAAGGTCAAAGCTGAACTGGTGAGACTCTCAGGTTTGATTGTGGAACACGTTCCCTTTGGTTCTCCAGACATCGTGGAAAGCCTAACCACAGTCCAAACAATAGGGGGATAGGAGTCGACAGACGTCCCTGATGGTAGGGTAGCCTGAGAAGGATGGGCTATACCACATTTTTCCACCAACCCTGTACTTTAGGGCTGCTCTATGGACTTTATAATAAAAGGGCCCATACAAACACAGAAACACAGCTCTGTCCCTGCGAATAATGCTGAGAAAAAAAGGCTTTTGTGTTTCCAGGCTGCACGTGGGCTGACCCCTAACCCCTGTCCGCCTTTGTGATCACAAGACTAACTCCCCAGCGCTCCTGAGAGCCTCTCAGTTAGACTGCAGCCTGTAGAGTAAACATCATCATGCTATTCTCACAGGGTTTCCCTTGGCCATTTTATCATCTCTTCTGCATTTATTATATTCATACATTTCTTGCGGATCATTTTAGATGTTCAGTGTGCAGTAGGCCGATTTGCATGCTTATGACGTAGATGACACTGTTACTGCACTTTAGACTGAATAAACAAGCTATCTGGTAAAATCAGTACATTACATGGTAGAGAGAAGCACAGAGTGACTTTCTCCTCAATATAGGGTTAAAAAAAGAACATAAAGTGACATTTATCAGTCCTCCAGCAGAAGATTATTTAGCCCGTTCATTGCTGCTTGTGGCCTCATTGCACAGTTATCCTGTTGCCATATCTCAAAACAATGTGCCACTCCTGTGTTCAACTGTAGTTGTTTTGTACATTTAGTTTGTGCCATGATGTTCGTCAGTTATTACATTGTGTATAAGTGTAAATAACTGCTGTCTCGGAATAAAAAATAAAGCAAATATTTATTAAGTAAAATGTCATTTTCATTGCATTCTGTAATTCCCAATGAAAAGTCCCATGTCTAGCAGGCTTAGCTTAAGCAGCACTATCGGTGACCTACAGCATCATATTTTTACCTATAATATCTTTGACCAGGGATACCTGTTCACAAAGCCCAAATTGAAAATAAAAAGATCTGTTTTACATGATTCCAGCTATTTGACCCTTTAAAAGCAAATAAAAGATGCCCATTGGTGACACTTTGCCCAGTTCCATCCTTTTCCTGACCCATGAAAGGAAGAAACAGGAGTGCCATCTAGTGGCTGGTTACATGAAGTACAATAACATTACGTTTTACTTCCGGGTCTTCTAGATTCGGGTGCTCGCTGTCGACTGTAAAGCTGCATGTCGGTTTCGTGATGTATCGCCAGCCTGTGCTAAAAAACAGGCGCACTCTCCTCGAGAGAGCAGATAAATTTATCTCTGATATTTACTTCACGGACTGCAACCTGAGAGGACGGTAAGGCATCGTTACACGCAGCTGCATTGACGTCTACTACAATGGACTGAAGTGCTTGAGTGCAGCAGACCAAACATGTTTCTGTTTTGTTTCTGTTGTAGTTTAAACAGAGGATTGTTTAATATCACGTTCATTCATATCCTACACGTAAATGCACATTATGCTGCTCAGTGTTTATTTGAATATCAGTACAAGTTTCACAAGTCTGCAACATACTGTAATCATAGTTAAATTGACATTATAGTACCCAAAAGTAACTGACCTCATCATGCATAATGCACGTTGTGATTTTGACTTTTTGAATAATTATTCTGTGCAGGCTCTATGGAGACTCCTGCCCGCTGGAGTCCCTCACCTCCTTCTTGTCCTCAAAACGGATCACATTCACAGAGGCCTTTCAGCAGACCTTTGCACCTCATAAAGTTGGTGATACCTTTGGACCCACGTAAGTACAATTGTCCGATTTGTATCACCCGCAGATCTTTTATTATTCCCCCTGATCTTGGCAATAAACCAAGCTTGATGCTTGCTGTAGGTGGTGGACTTGCTGGTTTAAGTTGACCCTGACAATCCCAGAGTCCTGGAGAGGGAAAGCGGTTCATCTTCTGTGGGAATGCGATGGAGAAGCAATGGTCTGGAGAGATGAACAGCCAGTTCAGGTAATGTAGCAGTCAGGCTAGAATCGATCAAAATGCCAAAATTCTGTGCAAACGCATGACTAGATTTCCTTGTGACATGTGTAGGGCCTGACCAAAGAGGGTGAGAAGACAAGTTACATCCTGTCAGACTGTCTGAGAGATGAGGAGCCACACAGGTCAGTTACTCAAACATGAGTTCATCGCTGCTCCTGTAACCAACTTCATATCTAACAATATTTTCTGTTGTTCTTTAGTGTCACCCTTTATGTGGAGGTGGCCTGTAATGGGCTTTTTGGAGCCGGCCAAGGGTCCATGATTGCAGCCCCAGATCCAAACAGGAAGTTCTCTGTCCAGAAGGCTGAGCTGGTGGTATTCAACCGCGATGTACGGGAGCTGCTCACTGATTTTGAGATGCTGATTGACATCGTGAAGGTGAAGTCACACAAAACGATGCACGTTACTTTACTTTAGTTGGAAGTTTAATGAATGTTGACTTTTCTCTTCCTTCACAGGAACTCGGAGAGGGAGAGCAACGAGGCTACCAGGCACTCTTCACTGTCAATGAGATGGTGAACCTCTGCGACCCCTCTGATCCCAGCTCTTTCTCCAAAGCTCACAGTCTGGCCCACACCTTCTTCAGCCAGCGGAACGGGGACAGCCAGCACACTGCTCATGCGATGGGTCACTGTCACATAGACTCAGGTCTCAGTCTAATGTCTAAAATGTGTCCTTATGTGAATGGAAAACGGTGAAGAAAACCTGGCGTCGTATGCCTGGTCAGATTTGTAGTTGAATTTACTAACAGTGATTAGATATTTACAGATTTAAATAATAATTTTGACAATGTTTTACATTATATATTTTCTCTGGCAGCTTGTGTTTAGCTTATTTTGTTGAAAGGGAAAAGTTTTGTAGAAAAGCATATTTTTATTCCGTATCCGTGGTCTCAAAACAATAGTAAAAACACACGATACTCTGCCCGAGTAGAAACGAATAGAAAATGCACATAAAATCTTCCAATATTTTTGTCAAGTTGGTTTATATTTCTAAATTTCTGTGTCTGCAGCTTGGCTATGGCCCTACGAAGAGACCATTCGCAAATGTGGCCGAAGCTGGGTGACCGTGATCCGTTTGATGGAGAAGAACCCAGACTTTGTTTTTACTTGCTCTCAGGTATTTCCCCACTAACACAGTTTTGTATGAGCCATAACGGTTTTACAAATATGAGCGTCCCTCTTTAGTTTTGACCTTTTTTTTGTTCAGGCCCAGCAGTTCCAGTGGGTAAAGAGCTGGTACCCGGGACTCTTTTCCCAGATCCAGCATTACGTTAAGAAAGGACGATTCATTCCAGTTGGAGGAACATGGGTGGAAATGGTAAACCTAATCTTGCAAATTAATCACATTTCATGTATGTTATGAATTCAATTATATTAAAGGGGCTGCTGCCATTTTGCTATTTTTTTTATGAACATCATATCCTAAGTTAAGATTTATTAATTACATGTTTGCCTGTCAGGATGGCAATCTGCCCTCAGGTGAGTCCATGGTCCGGCAGTTCCTGGAAGGCCAGCGCTTCTTTAACCACGAGTTTGGGATCCATTGCAAAGAGGTAGGGATTCATAAACAAATGTTTTCTTAACCTGCTACGTTTGTGACCACTTTTTCATCACATATGCATACTTCAATTATCTTTTCCGGTTCTTTAGTTCTGGCTTCCGGACACCTTTGGCTACTCTGCCCAGCTTCCTCAGATAATGCAGGGCTCTGGCATTTCCAATTTCTTGACACAGAAGCTCAGCTGGAACCTGGTCAACACCTTTCCCGTAAGTTGGTACTGGCTGATTTTAAAAACACAAATATTGGATTGTTTTTATTTTCAGTTTCTATTTCTCTTTTCTTAAGCACAACACATTTTTCTGGGAAGGTCTGGATGGCTCCAAGGTTTTAACCCACTTCCCACCAGGAAATTCCTACATAATGAAGGGCAAGGTTGAAGAAGTGAGTTTTTGGTACACATAACATGGTGAATGTTGAGTCTGTGACGAGAATATTTACAATCCTCACAAAGCTTACATTTCTGCCCACAGCTGATGGACACAGTGAAGAATAATAAAGACAAAGGAAGAGCTAACCACAGTGCAGTGTTGTTTGGTTTTGGCGATGGAGGCGGTGGTCCCACACAGTTGATGCTAGACAGACTGCACCGGGTCCAGGACACAGATGGACTTCCCAAGTCAGTTCCTGTCCCACACTTTAAACTCTACACTCATCAGTAACAACAACCAAGTCCAAAAATGAGGCAGAAGAACATCATAGGAGTAAATTAGTCATGAGTTTATGTCTTTTCCTGCACTGTGGGATTTCTGTAATAGGGTTTGCCGGCACGTAGGCAGTGGACTCCTCCAAGCTTGTTACACGTCAAAGGATATGAGTGATATTTACTGATGTCATTATGATGTGGTTCTACAATATTTGTCATTACAATCATGTTTTAGTCAGAATGAATAACAAAGGTGTAACCAGTGATATCATTGGCCACTTCCATGTCTAATTCTTGTGTGTTTCTCAGGGTCCAGACTTCTAGTCCTGACGAGCTCTTCTCTCAGCTTCAGGCCGACTCAGCTCTGCTTTGTACTTGGACCGGAGAGCTCTTCCTTGAGCTGCACAACGGCACCTACACCACACAGGCTCAGGTAGAGCGAGAGCTTTTAAAAGGACACTTTGCGAATACTAAACTAAAGGAAAAAGTATCCGAGCACAAATAGGCTAGAAAAGAAAAAGAATATCAAAAACAATATGCATAATGAAACTATAGATTATGTAAATATTCACTGGGTGGTGCGGGATATAGCATAGATTATTTACATGCAGGATTTACTTGGATTGTTACATCTAGCCATTCATACTAATAGTCATGATTGCTTAATATAAATGTAAATATATAAATATATATAAATAAGTAAAGGCTGATACACAGGCATATATGGAGGCATGATTACCTGTAACACCTTACAATTTAAGAGAGACGCACACAAGTGGGAGGAAAATGGTTGTACTTTTCCAGGAAATATAAATTAATAAATGCAATAAAAGGAATATTAGATCATGTTTGTACTGTTTGATAAAGTGTAGTTACTTTCTCTTCCAGATTAAACGGGGGAACCGGCAGTGTGAGGCGCTGCTTCATGACATTGAGATAGCCAGCAGCTTGGCGCTGTGTCGGAACAGGACTTTTCAGTATCCTGTGGAAAAACTGCAGGAGCTCTGGAGGTCCAGACACTCCTATTGAAGTTTGATGACTAATAAATGAATGGCCTCTGTTGTTGCAGCGTGAAAATAGTTTCTTTGATGTTTCCCTTTCAGGCTGCTTCTTCTAAATCAATTCCATGACGTGATTCCCGGCAGCTGTATAGAGATGGTGGTGGAGGATGCACTCAGGTATTATGAAGGTACAGTTTGATGTCCATTAAAACCACAGCCATATTCATATATTGCTTTCCAAAGTAAAAAGAATGTTGTGCTGTGTATCAGATATCCGCAGGGATGGCGCTGCACTGCTGCATGAAGCCTTTGGAGCCCTGGGGTCAAAAGGCAACTCCACTGGTGTGTTCAACTCTCTGCCATGGGAGCGCCATGAAGTCATCCAGATTCAAGATGACGCTGGTAGACCTGGTCTGGGTACGTTATATATTTACAATATTTATGTTGTTGCCTTACAAAGTACAACTGCATATTTGATGCTCTGTGGTATCTGTTGTACTGCAGCTCTGGTGAGAGTTCCCAGCATCGGCTTGACCCCCGTCAAAGACACACAGCCTATGGCTCCAGTCTCTGTCACTTCTCAAGTATGTACTTTATATATATATATATATATCGGACTTTAATTCGTTTAGCTATGTTGTAATTTAATTTCGCTTACTGAGGTGTGTAATGTACAGGCCGACGGCACTATACTCATGGAGAACGGGATTTTACAGACTGTCGTAAACAAAGATGGCACTTTGGCGTCGCTGTATTTGATCAATGCTAAGAGGTGCTGTAGGACCACGTGGCCACATTTTCTACTACTCATTATACACTGAATAATAACATCTGTCTCACCACTTGGTTGGTTTTTAGAGAAGCCATCTCTGACAGCTGTCATGGGAACCAGTTTGTCATGTTTGATGATGTCCCTCTGTACTGGGATGCTTGGGATGTAATGGACTACCATCTGCAGACGAGGTGTCATTCCTGTTGCATACATCTTTTGCCATCTGGATACACATTACAGTATTTGCAGGTGTATGAATACCAAGAACCTAACTGCTGGATTGACCCTATAGGAAGCCGGTTCTGGAGGTGGTGCAGCCTCCTCATGTGGTGTCCTCAGGTGGGCTCCGAGGCAGTGTCAGCTTCACACTCAGGATCAGTGACAAGAGCACTATAAAGCAGGAGATAGTCATGGACGCCATGTGTCCTTACATCAAATTCAACACAGAGGTATAACGTTTATGATATCGGGAGAATCACTGAGCCAACAGTTGACCGATTCTTCAAAACCCACAAGATACCCAGTGTTGCATCCTCCAATTTCAGGTGGAGTGGGCTGAGTCACACAAGTTTCTTAAGGTGGAATTCCCAGTGCAAGTACGCAGCCCCAATGCTACATATGAGATCCAGTTTGGCCATCTGCAGAGACCCACACACAGGAACACTTCATGGGACTGGGCCAGATTTGAGGTACAACACTGGAATGAACTGTATGAGTAGGATGATGTTCAACTTAAAGACAAAAGATGTCAGCATGGCTTCCCTTCTCAGGTTTGGGGTCACAAATGGGCCGATTTGTCTGAGCACAACTTTGGGGTTGCACTGCTGAATGACTGCAAATATGGCTATTCAGTCCACAAGAACACCATGACGCTGTCCCTGTGAGGTTTCCCACTGTTCATATACAATTCAGTTTCACCTCATTTAAATAATCCCTGCATCTAACAGTATACGTCTCTGTCATAGACTGAGGGCACCTAAGGCACCAGATGTCAATGCTGACATGGGGACTCATCATTTCACCTATGCAGTCATGCCACACACAGGTAGGATTGAACTGTTGTCATTAAACCTTGAATCTCTCACCATGCACCTTGTGATATAATGTTTGCGTTTAAATACAGGATCTTTCCAAGATGCCTCTGTCATCCAGTGTGCGTACAACCTCAACTTCCCTTTAAAGTCAATCCAGTGCACTGCTGACACCGAGCCCTGGAGTGCTTTTTCCGTCAGCACTGCAGCAGTCATCCTTGAGACCATTAAACAGGTATCCCATTAGGTGCTAAGATGCTTGACCTAATCCACTCAGCCCACTAATGGTGGTTTACGGTGTTTCCCGTGACAGGCTGAGGACAGGAAAGGGGCACTTGTGGTCCGACTCTATGAGTCACATGGGAGCAGCGTGACTGCAACTCTCTGCACCACCCTCCCAGTCAGGGAAGCCTGGCAGTGAGTATTTATATTTTTACAGCATTCACTGCAGTCTGGCATCTTTATAGTTGTATTGTCGACTAAGAAAAAAACTTCATTGTTTGCCTTTCAGTTGTGATTTCCTGGAGAGACAATACCCCACCCAGCCAGCTCGCATTACGTCAGAGGGAGTCACTCTGAACTTGAGCCCCTTCCAAATTGTGTCACTTCTCCTCATCTTGTAAAAGATGCAGCTTGTAACCAAACCTCAGGGTCATCACAAATTCTAAATCCTAAGCGTAGAAACTAATTCAATTCTATAAAATGTATCCTCTGGTGATGCAGTTTATTAGGATACTTTAGATGGAAGGCATCAGTTTGAGCTACTCGTGGATGACAATGTGACAAAAATAAAGTAATTACTTTGCATCAAATCAATAAAAAAGTTTCAGAATTTATGTAAAAACACTTTTATTAAAAACTATTTGTCAGTGTAAAAACATACATCCCATACAGTAGTGCCTCCTTTCTTTTTATTTGCTGTTCTGCCTGGTCGCTCTCTCGCTCCGCCTCTGTGGACCTGCAACAAGGACTATGAGATTAGAATTCTGTTGAGGTTTCTTTCCAATAGTACTCCAGTAGGTTGTTTTTTTATCATTTTGAGAGAATTTCATGAGCTCACCTGTAGTTGGTTCTGCACTGCTGTCTTTCTTCCTACGTGCAGTTGGTCTCTTTTCATGTTGAGGTGCGTTTACTTCTCGGGGCTTTTCGGTCCTTCTCTTGGATACAGCTTCCTTTGAACGTGCATCCTTTTCTTTCTTTGGTGTTTTGGTCACAGCTTCCTGTTTCACCACGTTCTTCTTTGATGCGCTGCTGGCCACCTAATGAAATCAAACTTGTGTTTAGAGTTACATCTGTGGAGTTCATTACCTAAAGCAAAAAAAAAAGTGACTTATGACCTTTTTCTCTTCTGTGTAATCGTGCTCATCTTCTTTCTTGGCTCTCTTTTTGGCCTTATGTGCCTTTGAATCTATTGTGTGAAAAAAAAATAAAAAATACAAATCAGTTTATTCATCGACTATTCTCAGATACATTCCAGCTGAAGTTCTCAGTTTTATGCATTCAAAGTACCTTTAGGTGCCATGGGGCCTGGATCTCCCTAAAATGAGAAGAGTACGTATTAGTGTCAGTGACATGTGAAACTCCGTGCCAGAGAGTTTAAAATACAGGGTTTTCCTATTGACTCACTTTGAACCACATAGTTCTGCCATTGTGGTCCCGTATAGATGTCATTCCATCCACATAGTAACACTGCAGCCATGCCTGAAAGTCTGAGTAGTCCGCCTTCTGGGGATCGTAGCCCTTCCCACCTAAGAAAACAAAATGTGTCAAAAACAGGAAATTCAATGTGTTAATCTCTGAATGAAATCATTATGAATTAGTCTTTCAAACAAAGTGACCAACCTTGGTTAACCACCTCTAGAGGTACCATATGACACAGTCTGAGCAGGTCACCCTTCTCCCCTTTCCCTTGTTTCTGTTTATCGCCGTCTGCTGTCTTGTGTACAGAAGAAAGAAAGAGGCACTGTTAGAAAATGTAAAGCGGTGAATGTTGAGTGTTTAATGATCTGAAGAAAGTGAGTCACTGTCTGGGGCTCTTTCACCTTTGTGTCTTTGATCTCATTTTTAAAAGGCTTCTTGTCTTCAAAGACATCTTCTGACTGCAGGCCTTCCAACACGGTCCTGGCGGACACGAAGGGTGGGATGTTCAACCTAAAAAAAGATGAACCACTTAAGACCCATTCTTTTGTAAAACAGAAAGGCTCTTTTTGTTTTCAAAGTGCGTCAGAATCAGTATGCTGGATATAAGAAACCGAGAAGTGAAAGAAAGCCATTCTTTTCATATCTGCAAGTAAACAGACCTTGAGTCTCATGAGAGCCAGTTCTGTTTCAGTGAACAATTCAAAACATAGAATCTGACTTTCTTCAAACCAGAACCTCACAGGAAAAACACTAGAGACAAAAGAAACCTTTTCGTAGTCTTTCTAGTGTGACCTTGATTCGTGAATCATTGTACTAAAGCACTAAAGCAAAGCTACTCCCTGTTGCCTTCTTGCTAATCTTGTTATGTTTCTTTTTAAACTGACTGTTAGTCAAAGTCTCTCTGTACCAGGCTTTCTATGTGCCTGCTTTCTCTCACTTTCTGTTCTTCGTAGCTACTAGTCACACCTAGCAAGCTACTACAATGGCAAACTGGCCATTTGAGAACATCTGTAGTAATATTTGATGTCTCCCTGTAAATTAGTAAATACTGTTATCATGATTAGGGATGCACTGATCCAACATTTTCTCTTCTAATGCTTATTCTGATTACTCAACTCAGGTTATCTGTCAATTACAAAATACCAATCCAATGTCAGTGCTTGCTTTTTCACAAATTTCACATCTCTATATGTCTGAATAAATGTAGCTGCTGGAGGAAACACTGATGACATTGTCAAAGAAGTTATTTGAGGGTGACATTTTCATGGGAAATGATTCCAGAATAAAAAGAATTGACAGGCCTATATTAAAAATGGATTGTCATGTCATGGCTGATACCCAATCCACTTACTGAGGTGAGTATCGGTGCTTTCCTAATACGTAACTGTATAATGTGTCATTTGAGTAGTTCTGAGGGCTGTGCGAGGTTCATCACCTGAAAAGGATTTCAGCCCTCAGGTAGTTCCCGATACCGTTGAAGTACTTCTGATTGAGCAGAACTTCACAGATGGGCCTGTCAAAGGCACGGTCCGACAGGTGTGACACTATATTCTCCCTGCAAAGATATTAACTGGTCAGTGTGACAGCGATACTTTGATTGAGCAGGTGACTCGCGTGACAGTCTCAGTATTACCAACCTGAAGCTTTCGTACTCAAACATGATGCAAGGCCCTCTGTCAGGCTGCCACTTCCCATCGGGATGCCAGCTGCCAAACCTGCGTGCATCCACATAGCTCAGCACTCTGCAGGGCTCCTCTTTGGAATAAAAACGCAGATGGGCATGTTTGGGAAGCTCATCCTCTGTGGTGAAGCGGAAATAGCCCGACATCCCAAAGCGAAAGACTATGTCCATGGGCTGGTCTGCTTGTCCTGCCTTCACTGTATTTTTCGAATCATCACTCTTCATGGGCGTCAGCGTGAGCTTCACTTCCTTCCCTCTGGAAGCAGCAGTGATGCGATAGGCCTCACAGGTGAAGGGCACATCAGGATTCTTGCTGACTTCAGATTTTCTGACTGCTCCAGTGAACACCACTCCTGCGCACATGTTGTTCACATAAAGGCTTGCCAGGTGGAGCTCTGGTCCCTCAGGCATTTTGCTCGAACAAATTAAGCTGATCTGCAAAGAATAACGTGGCACCACAAAGCATAACATCAAGAGCTGTAGCTACCTGTAATGGACATTGAGGACGTGTGTGTGTGTGTGTGTAGGGAAATAAAATGTACAGACATAAAGGAACAGTTAACCGAATGAATAGAAAATAAAAAAATCTAAGTGCCTCTGAAAAAAGCCCCAAAGACCTTGGTTTATCTTCTTTAATGTCAAAGAGTGGAGGGGTGTGTGTTGGATGGACTTGTGACCTCAATTTAAAGTCTTGGCCTCTATGCACACGGACTACACAAAGCACATCACGCCACCTCCACATAATAAAAAAATAAACTAAACACGCTCTGAAAAAGGGGCGTTTTCATTGAGTTGCGAGGAACATCAAAGAGCAAAACAACTTACCCCAAAACAGGAAATAGACCGAGCCGTTAATAAACTAGTCTCTTTCAAAGACTTAAACTACCGTGACATAACCGAGGGAGTTTGTCGGGTTCCTCTACTCTCTGCATGTCTGCACGCGTTCACAACATGCGTGTTATCAAACATGCTTCTTCTTCTTCTTCGGTTTCATGGCGGCTGGCAACCAGCGTCATGTGCATTACCGCCACCTACTATGCTGGATTGTGGACCAGACTATCCCCTTTTCCCAAATTACCACCATGTTGTGCAACCATAGACTGTATAAGAAGTGTAACACAAGCAAGAATCATAGACTGTCCGTAAATATCGCGTAATGTCCATGCTCTCACGCACGCTCGTTATTTATAGTCATCGCACGTGTTTTTCATCTAAATCAACGTTTTTTTCTCTCGCTGTTTTCAATTCATTGGATGTATTTTTAAGCAAACACAAGAGCTAACAGTACAGCCCCGATGCATGGTGGGATATGTCAGTTTTGCGGAAACCGGTAATGATACAAATATGACACATTTTATTTTTTATTTTTATAAAACACAAATTATAAACAATTCAAATCAAAATGTGTGAACCAATATACAATATTTTACAAAAATGGTCCATTCAGTCTGGACATATTTCAACCAATTATTATAACTAATGTGGTAGAAAAATACAATTAATTATCAGTCAATACAAATGACAACATTCATATCAAAGATAGGTATGGCACTTTTTAACAGCATTATTACGTCTGGCCTGACTTTACTGTCCACTCTTCATTGTAGTGCATTCATCCTAGTCTGGGCTTGTTTGAGCTCTGTAGAAACACACAGAGGAAAAAGATTCATCACAAAACAATTCTGGCCAATAAAACTGTTTGAAAATGGACGTACTTTGAGAAAATATCTGCAATTTGACATGATGCAGAACTAACCTGCAAGCAAGACTCTGAACTTGTCAGCAGAAACCGAAAAAACAGTCGTCTCTGTTGAGCCTGACTCTGCTCCTTGTGTCTGCAGTTTAAGCTGAATAATTGGTTCATTCACCTCCCTCAGTTCACTGGAGCTCAGCGTGTAGTCGGCGCGCCAGGACACGGCCTCCAGTCGGCCCACTGAAATTCATTACAGGTCAGAATTGGAGCTAATCTCTCCGTCAGCAACCTCACAGAGAACAGCTCTCGTCATCAGTTATTTTTGTCTTCCTCTTGTAAAAGAGGACGAGGCAGACAGAATTACTTACATCTCAGACTTGTCTCTCTTAGTTTGCCTTGCAGCGCGGAGTGCTTGTCTTCATATGATTTGCAGAGACCCGTCGTGTGTTCTAAAATAATGAATTTGTGTGAAATTAATAGTAAAGTGAAGATTCATTTTATAATGCATAATCACATTTAAGCCTTTTCACACATTAATACAGAAGTAACCAATCCATTAAAGCGAAAAGTAAAGCAGTTAATATCTTTAAAATAAAGTGGATCACAACATTTGAAAAAACACCATCTCAAGCAGCTGGAGAGTCAATTGTGATTGTTTTATAGCTGACTGCAGTGTTTTATCATATTTAGTTCCACAATATCCAACTATGCAATGCAATATGCTCCACTAATGACATTATAGGCTGTGATCGTGGACTTGTCTGTTTGTAGAAGTGCAAATCTGCACATCTTACGAATATCTAACTCTGTATTCAGGAGTCCTTGGTTGTGTAGGAGCCCTCCACTTAATGCAAACATTACCCCTGAAATAAAACAACCAGTCCATCCTTACTCTTGGCACAAAAAATAGAGTATGGAAAGCGGTCTGTCCATGTGTGACAACAGATTATATAATCATCATTTTTATAGCAAACATGGGGAACCACAGTGGACTTACCTTTAGGCAGACCGAGCTGCTGCAGCTCACTGGACAGGGACTCACTGTCAACATCATGCTTCGCTGCACTGGAGAAAATGAAGCGGAGCACTGCCACACTAGCTTTGATGTCTCCGCTCTCTGCAAGACAGATTGATGTCATGAATGAACATTTAACAGCAAAGAAATGCAATGCAAGTATGACAGATTCATAGGCTTATGTGTTTAAGTATATGAGTTATATTTAAATGCAGTACCAGCAGCAGAGGAACATAATTAACTACATTAACTCAAGTACTCTGATCAGGAATAATTTTGCAGTGCTGGTACATTATTTAATGCTCTATTATAATTCACGTTGTTTTACTTGTAAATTCTACTAATCAGTCTGCCAATTAAGGTTTTGCACACAAAACATATGATGGGCTTGTAAAACATGATGCATTGTTGTAGATTTAGCTCCCCAAGCAGTATTTAGTCTGTTTATTCAATTATCTAGAAATACTTCTGTACTTAGACATATTTGTAATATAGGCCCTTTATTTGTAATGGAGTATTTCTATACTGTAGTGCATGTACATTACCCTTCAATTAGTAAAAGATCTGCAGTATGAGGGAGACTTACCAAACTTTGCATCTGCAGTAAGCTTTGTAACCTTATCATACTAAAAAAGAGAGAAGATAGCTCGTATCAGTGAGTGAATTGTGAATATAATGTGAGGTAAATGATTATGTGGAAATGTGTTAAAATGCTTACATCAATGCCATCCCCGAGCAAATCCTTCAGCACTTGAGCACAGAGTAGTTTCATTTTGACACTTGACTGTTGTGTTAGAAAGGCAGAAGACACAAGTATCAGTATTACAAAAAAACACCATAAACTGAGCCTGAAAATCGCAATATTGACCCTGATAAGTACTCACAATCTTGGCTAATGTGCTTATTTCGGCCAGTACCCAGTCTGGACAGTCCAAATCGCCACAGAAACGAAACCGCTAAAACAGACAAGACATCACATGCACATTGTTTACTGTTCTGTAACAAAAGTCAGCCCTTAAACACTGTAACGAGAGCATTTAACAGTTACATCGACGTTAGATATCCATCATTGAAAGTTACTAACTAGCTTAGCCTGCTAACGTTAGCTTCCTAAAAGCCGGGTCTAAACACCGATAACGTTGAAGTTAACGATCAACGTTACCTAAAACATTTATAAATCATGCAACTAACATGTCTTGTAAAATCCGGCTTCTAAATAAGTTAACTAGTGTTAAAGAATCCGACTGTTGGACGTGTTTACCATGGCTGTCAGCGGTCAGTCAGCTGAGCAGCAGTACCTCGGAAGAACTGAACCGGAAGTGCGTTCTGCTTCCTCACATCTGTTTGGACGACAGTGGGCTCCTTCAGACACACAAGTTGATGGTCCTGATGTTGGATATCGGGCAGTTCTTTTTCATTACAAACACCAATTGTATTGTACCATATGCGTTGTTGATCGTGCCTGCATGGTTCAGCTCACAGATACAGTTTTAAATAAAAAAAGGAATTTGTTGTAAGACAAACCTGGGCAAAAGCAAGTTAGATTTACAATTCTGGACAGATCCTTTCCACCGTGCATATACCCTTGCAGGAGTTTATATGTACTGAGAACGAAAGAGGATGCATAGCACCTGCAACTCTTTGCTGATGTTTATATATATTTATTGAGGGGAAACCTGGGGAAGGAATGTTATGCACAGTGGAAAAGAAAATGTATCTGTCAGTGTGGTATGTTTCAGATGAGTTAGTAGATCCAGTAAACACAGTCTGATTTCCAAGGCAGGGAGGGTAGTTACGGTAATGACACTTACATCAGAGCTGGACCACCATAAACTACTCAGTCTGCTCTTTATGTCAAGGGAGCAATCAGATATTATTTCAGTCTCATCAATATGTTTTTGTTTTTTTGGCTGTGGTTCTTATTGTTGCAGATATGCATTTAGATGGAAAATGCGTTCTTTGTCTCTCGTTTGATTTTCATTTTAGTTTATCTTTCTCCCTCAATATAACCTACATCACATCAAATCGACACCCGACCAGCCCACCACTGCATGTCACAACCGATCATATAGGAGTTGTGCTGTTCGGGAAGTGTGGGCGGATACTAAGGTTATTGGCTTTCAGCTTCCCGGCTGGTGAGCGAGAGGGTCACCTGTGTCTTTTCCCAGATCGTCATTAGACTGAAGGATTGAGGACGGTTCATACAAATAAGTATGTGAACCATCTAAGGCGCAAAATGTTGCGATTTGTTTTCAGTTATATTTTTCTTGCTGGGGATTTTCAACTCGTCCTTACTTTACCGACTCTTGGATCAAAAAATAATCCCAGACTTCTAAGCAAAGGTACGTTCACGTTTCGCTTTTTCACCGCTACGAATGCAATGTTTCAGACGTAATCACGAAATCCAATGTCAGTCACCAAATTAGTGTAGATGGTTAGAAGAGTCAGATACAAAGTTAATCCTCAAATCCTTCTTAAACCCGCTAAGAGTAAGATGTAGTTCAGTTTAGATAACCCTATTTTACCCTCCAAAGGGAATGACCAGATGAGACGCGATGAGGTAACTTTTAATGTCAGTGCACGACGATACAATTATTAATGTGGTTCAGTCTGACTTTCACATCCCTCCATGTCAAAGGCTGTATGTAAAATATGACAATGTGATGTTTTACTCCCTCAGATATAAACAGTGGTGGATTTGAATACCAAATATATCAGAATCACAGCGTGTTCTTCTATCATGGAGACTCTGAGCAGATGTATGTCGGAGGGACAGATTTTGTGCTGAAACTTGATGTGGATAGCTATCATGTTATAGAGGTGGGTGTGTCTGAACTTCTATATTTTGAATTGATCTGTTTATTTGATCACCTGCAGTACATTTACTTCCTGTATACTCTTCATCTAATATCTTATTGATGGGTTCTGAGCCGGATCTCTGTGTGTGTGGTTAGTGACGGTAACGTTTGTGATGCAGCTGAGGCCATAATTAGATGCTTTAGCAGATGGTTGTCACAGACCCATTGTTAGGAGTCTGTCTGGCAGCGCCCACTGGGAAATATATCCTTTCAAAGCCAGCTATAAAACATGCAGCTGTAAGGCAGAAGGAGCTGCTGCTGGTTGACACAAACAGACCCTGATGACATATAAAAGTGGGCTGATGGTTGTTGAATGTTTTTCAAGAAACTAAAGCAAAAGTGGTTTGTTTCTGACCATAAGACAGACATATCTCCATTTTACACTAATTGATTTTTGCCAGAAGCAGCTGAAGCTACAAAATAAGTAATTTGAGTGATTTTTGCCTGAGAAAGCATAAGAAAGAAAACGCATGTGTTTCCGATGTTTCGTTTATATCCATCGTTCAGCTATTTCAAACATGTCCCAGCCCAAAACATCTGGTTTTGGGCAGAGTTCAACTGTCATGCTTTAATAATAAGTAAGTGAGACGGTAATGTTTGAAATGTAAATTTTCATTTTGTAATGTCTCATTTAAAACTATCCTTAAGTGAAAACTTTGTGAATTTGTTCATCAATGCATCCCCCCCTGCAGAAATTTCCTTTGAAAACCCTGGAGCATCAACAGTGCCAAGAGGTCAGTAAATAGAGATTCATGTGATCAGAAATGACTGCTTAACGAATTTGCAAAATAATAGATTTTTGAAACGAAAAGCATATTTAGTTCTGTGTGATGACTTGGTAATACTAGCTTCTGTTCTTGTAGGGCCAATGTGAAAATGTCATCACTGTGATTGAGAAGTTTCAGGACAGCCTGTTTGTCTGTGGAACAAATGGACACAGACCGCAGTGTTGGAAGCTTGTGAGTGTTTGCATGAATCGCTGCATATGTTCCATTTCATATCACTTCTCTCTTTCATACTCCAGTTATAGTTTCTGGTTAACTTTACTGGCAACATGAATGCCCAGCTAATTAAAGCACAGAGCTTTTTTTGTGGAACGTCTATGGTTCTCATTCAACTTTAATTAGCACCCTGTCTGTGGTTTCAGTAGGGTGTTGGGTGGCTGGTGTCTCGATATGTTACACCATCACAACTAACTATGACAACATTCTTTTGACTTTCTGTGGTTCTACAGTTTTCTTCAGTGAACAACCAGTCTCATGAAATAGTGGAGAGTTATGAGGGGACTGGCATCTCTCCATTTGTTTACACACATAACTCTGTATCCCTCACAGCAGGTATGTTGAATACAGCAACATGCACACCCATATAGTAGCCCATGTTTTATAAGGTTTAAAAATGTGACTAGGGGCTGCAGATTTATGCAACCGCATCAAGTCATGTGTGGTAGCAGAGTTGGAGAACCAGTGCACTTTCACTTAACTACACTCAATAATTGAACATCTTTGCTCGTTTTCACATGATTTCTCTCCGCTATCTTTAGAAGGGGAGCTATATTCAGCGGCGCCTTTGGATACTGATGGAAGTTCGTTACAGTTCAGAAGAAAAGCTGGCAGCAGAAGTAATGTCTGGATGTATGACAACTGGGTCTCAGGTGGGTTAATGACTGAAGTTTATTTATAACGGAGGATAAATATAAGATCCCACACTCAGGGAAAATCAGCAAGAATTAATATTCCTTCATACTGCACCTGAATAGTATCAGTTTGTCCTGAAACTGTTCAGTCTTTATTCCCACTCTTCAGTGCCCTTTCATTGTCTCTTGTGTTGGTCTCACATGCCAAGCTTTGTCATCAGATATTATCTGCTGGCACGGCACTTTAGGCCTGCTGTAAACAGTTTGGTAAACATGTCCTCCTCTTACAGAGCCCACATTCATCTCTGCTTCCTGGGTGAAGCAGAGGGAAGACCCTGACAACGAAAAAATCTACATCTTTTTCCGTGAAAAGAACTCCGATCAGAATCCGGAGGCTGACCCCTGGATATCGAGGGTTGCCAGAGTTTGTAAGGTACGCTGGTCAGTGAAGCTCTCATCTCTCACTAGACTGCTTCAGCAAATTACCCAAATTGTCTTCAGTCCTATCTATGCTAGTATTTATATTAAAAACAAGACTGAGTATTGATTGTGTCAATATTAGGTATCAGTCCATCCAGCCTTAGTTCAACCTGCTTTGGTCTAGTAGGATGAAAAGCATGGCCTTTGGGGGGAGCTAGCAGGGCTTTGATGCTAAGAATATGAAATATTGATGAGGCCGTGTAATATGATCGAAAGCACAAGAAGATTATTTTGTCAATCGTTGTTCCCAAGGTCGAGGATAAACTTTGACTTTACATATGAATGGAAAAGGATCATTCACATGGTGTGTTTTAATGTAGTGCATACATCTATATTTTGCAAGATATTCCCACAAGCATAATCTATTTCTTCTTCTAGTTTCTATTAGAATAAACAGACACTGAGTTGTTGGAGCCCTCAGCAGAGTTTAACGTCAGTGTTTTAGTGTTATTGCTGTGTCTCCCACAGTAACCCCTCCTGAATTTGCCCAATAAAGGAGTAGAAAGGCCACCATCTGTCAAATCAGTTTGTTTGATGTTGAACGGTTAAGGTCAGCCAATATTTACAGTAGTTTTATGAGGAGAGTATGATGTACTGATATGCTCATATTGAAAACACAGGCTGTCAATTGATAACCTGGCAGGAAATGAAGTATTTACTTTAAAAAAACAAAGGGAGATAGCAGAGTGATATCCTGCGGTGCGTGAATACAATGCCAGTTTTTGACAAAGGCATACACATGATTAATGCATTAATGCCTGTCTCATTTCCACTATACCCGCACTAACAAATCAGGCTTCTTCTATCTCAATTAACTAACGCGGCATGCTATTATTGTGGTGAAATACAAACTTTTCAACACCCTTGTTATTTGACATTTGTGCAAAACAAGACTTGCCCTAACAGCGGTTAGGTGTTTCATTCCAGGGTTCATGGTCCAAGTAAAGACAGTCCTATCAAATAACAATTAGTTGATGAATTTTAGTCTGTAAGAAAAGTGAAAGACTGTCTTCCTGGTGTCATTTATTGGTGTCATTTTGCAGGTAGATGAAGGTGGATCAAAACGATTCTTCCAGAACATGTGGACATCTTTCCTCAAGGCTCGGCTTGTCTGCGGGATTCCAGAAGAGTCGCTCTATTTCAACCGTCTCCAAGACATTTATGTGATGCATGCTGAGGATTGGAGAGACACCCGAGTCTACGCCCTTTTCACGCTCTTCACAAGCAGCTGGTTAGACACTTTCCCTTCCTTTATTATCAGCAACAATACAAGCAGCATGCTGACAGGGCAATACAAAATAGCTGTCACTTCAACAAAACTAATCCTGGCCTCTCTGTCTCTTTGTCTGTCTGTCTATTTATCAAAAACATTAGACTGCCCCATAGGTAACCTAATTTAATATTTGTACCCTCTTATACGAGGGTCCATTCATGGTGATTAGTCACATAAGATGAGTACTCAGTCTAGTCTCACATTAGCAGCAATTTAGTATTGCACTTTGTAAAGTAGGGTGACTCACAAAAGAGATATATTTTAAAAAGATGGTCAAAATAACTTGATGGAGGCTTGTATAAAGGTTTGAACGAATTTTAATGAAATATCTTCTGCAAAAAACCAACAGCATCAGGCAATGGGACAAAATCCTAACCCTGACCACCACCACTGAAATACAGATAACAACTGTCATTTGCATCCTAACTTCGGTTATCTTATTGCTCTTCTAGGAACTCCACAGCAGTGTGCATCTATTCAATAGGAATGATTGAGGAAATATTTGAGAACTCGACTTTCAAGGGCTACAACAAAGACGTCCCAAAACCAAGGCCAGGAACGGTAACCATTTGTTTTGTTGCTAAGTTGATGTGCAGAGACAAAATACTTCCTCTAAGGGTTTTATTTTTATTATAGGCGTATAGGCCTATCTATCAGATGTTCCAGACTGTAGTTAAAACACACAAACACACAAGCATGTTACATAAGTGGGTGGCGACATGGAAAATGTGTGTCTGTAATACTTATCTCCATCAGATGTGCTTCAGTGTTTCCATCTGTAGATTGACATTGTAGTTTTTTTACATGAAGTCTATTTAAGTTCAACCCTGTAGCTGAGGAACTAAAGAGGCCCCACAAACATGGATACATTTCAGAATTTCCTCTCGTGTTAGTAAAGAGTTTTCTGACCCAGTGAGTTCCTTAGAGGAGGTTGACTTGTTGCCATATTCAGTTTATAGCTTGAGCAAATGTTTGTCTTACTTGTTTTTATACAACTTCGGATGCCTTCTGTATTGTATACGTTAAGAGTTGCTTAACCCGAGTCTCCTACAAACATTCGGTTTACGTTCTCTCTTTCCTACAACATACAAACTACTTATGAATGAAAAAACAACAGCTTTGTGTCCATCTATTTTTTTAGTGTGTAAAAAACAGCAGGACCCTGCCACTGGCCACTGTCAATATGGTGAAGGATTACCCAGAAATGACTGACTGGGTTCACTCCGTGCATTATACAGCTCCATTTTATATAAGCAGCAACAACTACACCAAGATAGCTGTGGACCGCGTCCAGGCAGCAGACCAGCACATGTATAACGTTCTGCTTCTGGCTACTGGTATGTTCAGGTTTGGAGGAAATACTATGTACCTCGTTTTCCGTACTTTGTTTAGCTATTCGTGCCTTGTGTGTTTTCCTGTTGATCTGTGTTCTAATCATGGACTGCCTGTAATCTCTGCGAGGAACAATGGGCTAAAAATACAGCATCACTCCCAAAATAACAACGCTACAAAATGCTGTTTGTGTGCCGTTCGAACAGATTCAGGGACAATCCATAAAGTCTTGGAGTCCGGGTCAGAACCTTTCATCATCTCTGAAACACAACTCCCCAGCTATTCAACCATAAAATCAATGAAGCTTGTCTCCAAAAAGGTATTTATAATGCCTTTTTAAATGTCCCGCATTTTTTTTTTTTATGCTGCACTAATCAATATTATAGATTAAATGATTATGTGTAATATGGAAGGGATCGCTTGTAATACAGAATAATAATTATAGTTTGACTTTACACATTCCTTCAGCTCTACAGAGCATTTCAATATCTTTAAGCTCACTGTTTTGGTTTGCCGGTCTGCAACTTCAATGCTTTAGTTCCGTTTTCCGGCTCTCATCAACCCAAAGGACCCAAAAATCGATCAATGCTTGGTCTATCAATGGTTTAAAGTGAAATTATTTGTGTGTCTCCCTGTGCACAGAAAAAGTTAGTGGTGGGTTTTCCAGAGAGAATTTCTATCATGGACCTCCAGAGGTGTCAGGAGTACAACAAGTCCTGTGCAGATTGTGTTCTGGCCCGGGACCCGTACTGTGCCTGGACAAAGTCTGGATGCACCCCGACTGTGGAGTGTGTAAGGTGTGGAAAGTGTTCATACCAACAACTAACAAGTTAACAACACTGACATAGCTGCTTTCTGCATGCTCATCTGAATATGACCTTTCTGCCAAATATAAGAATAAATGTTGATGCAAAGATGAGGAAAAAAAATCAACCTCTTTCCAACATAAAACAGATCATCGGCAAAGTCACTCATCTCTCACAACGAAATGCACTCATTGGAACATGTGTTTTTTTTTTGTTTTTTTTCAGTGGCTGCATTCAAAATATCATTGATGGGAACATAAGTCTATGTCCTGCATCACAAGAAGGTAATTAAAGATGAGACTGTTATTCATATAAACCTGATAAGGGCTCAAAAACCTTTGGTCACATCTCTATTTTCTCTTCTTTTTATTCTTGTAGAAGAAAAACTAGTAAACCGGACCAAACGGGAGACAGCTTCACCATCACCAGTGTATTTGGGGACAACTCACTCGGTCCCCCTTAGTGTCCCTTTCTATCTGTCATGTCCAATAGACTCCTACCATGCTGTCTACACCTGGGAGCATGAAGGCCAGAGCAGCCCTTGTCTCCAAATGCAGTCTAACTGCCTGCACCTCATCCCTGCCATGGCACACGAGAACTATGGCGACTACGAGTGTGTTTCCAAAGAGAGAGACTACACCAATGTGGTGAAGACATATCAGCTTACAGAGCAAATGTTTCCAAAAACAAATAAAACCACTGAGACGATCAACAACCTTTCTAAAATGAATGATGCATCAGCTGTCGTGCCGCAGAAGGCTTGGATCACCCTTGGACTTGCAGTGTTGGGGATTTTCAGATAGGATTTGCAAAAATGACTAACACTCCCTTCATTTTGAGAATATTTTCAGTTGGTCCAGACCTCGTGTATGAAAATGTGGCATAAACATCCTCAAGACCTTTGTCCTTGCCGTTGCTCTCAGGCCAGGACGCAGGCAGCAGGAATACTTCCTAGTGAACACAAAACCTTATTTGTGCAAGCCGACATGTAGCTGTGTTTGGCAGAACTGTTAGATTTTCAAGCCTACAGGACCATGCTGCAGCCAAGTTTATTTTACAAAGAGAAACCGGAACAGGATGTGGTTGGTGTGATGGAGGAAGAAAGCAGCCTAACTGGTCAGAAGCAAACAGAGCACAGCTCACAGTGTTTGTTTGGATCAGCTGATGATCAGTTAGTCACCGCAGCATCCTTCATTAACTACTGCAATGTTTCATTGAGTGAGCACTTTGTTCATTTCTTTTAAGACAAGGGAAAAAGGGAAAATGTAAGAAGTAATCTGAAGGAATTTATTTGAACAAGGGTTTAGTCCAAACCAAAGCACACCTTTAAAAAGTTGTGCATCATGAGTGCAAAAGCTTCTGTTCAGAGAGCGACAGATAGCCCAGTACAAGCAAGTGTGTGTGTGTGTAGTAGTAGTGTGTGCACGTTGAGGTCAGAAACAAATGTTGATATCGGAGTGTTTATGGAAGGGTGGAGGCAGCCAGGGACCCTCCCTGAGTTTCCCTGTTTTGTTCAGTCATGTGGTCAGCGAGGCATTTGGAAAATGCAATGAGAACTGTTTTGCCGCAGAGCAGAAAATATCCGACTTTGGTATCTTGTTAAACTGTCCACTGGAACAGATTTGAGATGGTGGTTGAAGGTGATCATTTTGCATCTACAGTGTGTGCACATATCATGTATTGAAGCTGCTTTTCTACTCCGTTATTTACATAAAAGAGAGACTGTGTAACTTTCGGCAATCTGTAACCACTGTTGCCCCAGTGCTAATAACGAGATAAATTGTTCTTTAATATGTTTAAAAACTACTAACCTAAATTATTTATGATGTTAACACTATTTTGGTACAGTCTTTTGGGTTTCACACTGGAGATTTTAATACTTGCAAGCAATATGTGTCCTTATAATTTCAAAAATAGTATATTTTTGCATAATGTTAGCTTGAAAAGGCTACCTGAAGAATGTAAGTGATTATTATTGATTTCCTGCTCATTGAAATAATAAAGAATGGAGCTGTCATTAACCAGGAGTTGTACTTCTCTTCCACTCATAAGTGGTTTTGAG